ATCCCCAGCTCTTTTTTGTGTTTTATTTAGAGATACGTTCTCTCCGAGTTGCTTAGGGCCACACTAAATTGCTGAATTCTCGATCCTCCTGCCTCAGCTTCCTGAGTGTGCCTCACCATGCCTGGCGAAATGCATGGTTTTTGATAGCAAAAATGCATGTTTTCCCTCACGTTCTCTTGTCCTCGGCTAACTATAAATGAATGATCTTCAATATTTTATAGTAAAAATAAGCCTGAGGATCACAAAATGTAAACAGATTGTGGCTCCTTATTGGAGCCTTTTTCTTACTGTGAGTGTGCTCCCGGGATGGGGAGTTGTTTCTTTATGGTGCTAGGGTTTAAACTCAGAACTTCATGCATCTACCCCAGAGGTACACTCCCACCCTCTTATTTCTGATTTGATAGCTCCAAAAACTATTTGACTGACATATCTGTGCTTTAAACCTTGTGGGCAGTCATCCTGGTGAACACATGTGTACGTGCGCGCGCGCGCGCGCGCGCACGTGCGTGTTGGAAATTGAACACAGATGTTGCTCTACCACTGAGCTATACCCCTAAGTCCTTTTAATTTTTTTTTTTTCCAACTTTGAGATAGGGCCTAAGTTGCTAAGGCTGGCCTTCAACTTGGTGATTCTTCTGCCTCAGCCTCCTGAGCCTCTAGAACTGCAGTCATGCCCCACTGCCCTTGACTAAGGAAGGCTAAACATTTTTAAAGTCCCTTCTGGCTGCAGGTGTCTGTTTTCTACTGAAAAGAAAGTCTGAAGTAATTTAATAGATGAATGCATACCTAAGAGCTCTACTTCTCAGAAATAAGAACTCCATTCCAAGTTAATTATGAGCTTTGCACTAGCAAGATGCAGTGGACTCTTAAAGAAGCTTCCAGGGAGAGCTGAAATGCACGGTCCCTGGTGGGGAGGGGAAGGAACGTTCACTGTCTGCTGGCCGAAATGGCTGCACCAGTCACACAGTTGTACCTGGAGGACGCATGTAATCCTTTGCAGAGACCTGTAAGGTAAGTTTCGTAATTGTCCCCTGATAAAGGGTGAGAGCCAGTACCCCCATAGTATCTAGGGCATCTCAACCAAGGCCCACAAAGGGTTAGTGTTGGGAGCACTCTTACCTCTGTTTTGTGGTAAGAAAGCAGGGAGCAGTGGGTTTCCTGCCGAAGTTCACACAATTGGTGAATGTGCCAGGATTTGATCCCACACCACACCATCTTGGGTGCTAAATACCCGCTGAGCCACAACACCCCAAGGTTCAGATCCCCAAACAATTTCAAGTCATTGGTCGGCCTCTATCACCACATCCTGTTAGCTCCCTCTGGTCCGATGTGAGATACAGATGTGCTGGTTTTAGAATCGCCCTGGGTGAAATCATAGGAGTGATTGTGGACAGACAGACATATCCTAGAATAGCAAGGGAGTAAATTTTTTGTGATTGTAAAAGTAGTGGCTGTAGATCAGATACCTTGGGAGAGGCAGAGACAGGCAGGGCAACTCAAAAGAGGAGGCTGAGGGAACCAGGAGTCTGGTCCTGCCTGTAGTCTAGCTGTATTCCCTTGCCTGAGGAGGATATGCCATAATATATGCCAGAATTTGTCCTAGTTGAGGCAAAGGGGCTGGGTGGCTATTGTCCGAGGTCTTTCTGGGAAAGGTAGTAGCTGGCAAGGTGGCTCCCTTCAGCCAAGGGCAGTGCTCCAGAAGGGGCCACCATAGTGATGAGTAGCTGACCTTCAGCAGCCAGGGGGTAGGCGTGCCTGTAGAGGGATCTCCATGGGATTCCACCAGCAGCCACTATAGCAATGTCTCAAGGTTTATCTGCATCAGAATCCCAGGGGGCTTTTTAAAATATTGCTTGCTCCATCCTCCAAAAGTCTGATGTAGCAGATATTACCAAAACAGAGAGTACTTTATGAGCAACAGGTCTGAGTCCTGTAATTCCAGTTACTCAGAAGGCTAAGGCTAGAGTGAGACCAGCCTCACAATTTTGCAAGACCTGCACGGTTGATTGAGCCTGTAATCCCAGTGGCTTGGGAGGCTGAGGCAGGAGGATCACGAGTTCAAAGCAGCTTCAGCAATTTAGCAAGTCCCTAAGCAACTCAGCTAGCCACTTGTTTAAATAAAATATAA